TCACAGCTTCTGAGGCCTGAGCGCTCACCTCCCACATGCAAGTGCCTCCCAGAGCCACCACTGCCACACACAAAACTATTGGACCAACAGGCACTGGAGGGGGCTCAGCAAAGCTCTCCCTCACACAGTGTCTGCTGGAGGGGCTGGAGGGCTGCCCACACATCCCACTGCCTCCTCTGTCACCCTGCTCTCCCACCCAGCCCCAGCCTCCTGGATCTGGCACTTGGCAGACGTATGAACGTCATGAAGTGACTGCTAAGAAGCAACAGGCTGTGTTGGTGTCAGATCCAGAAGTGCTGCCCAAAAACGAGAGAGATGCAAGCCTGAAACAACACCAACTCATTCCCTTTCAAACTCTCCTGGCATCTCTCAGCCCCAGCTGATGCTGCCAACATCTGTGCTGCTCACCTTTTATAACAGAGGTGGTTTATTTCTCTAATAAACTTGTATATGATCAGAAAATGACTGTGTAGTACAGATTTATGTTGCAATCAAAACTCTGGGAAAGCTAAATACCGCTTTTTAACCTTCAATATATCTTGATTTAAGGAGTGTGAGTCACCCAGGCAGCAGCTGGGCATTACAACTGATGGGTCTGAACCAGAGGCAGGGGATCCTGCACCCCAGGAGCCACAGAGATGGGATTTTGTGTAAGTGCACAACCAGCAGATGCAAAGTCTCCCATGGCAATCCCATGGAACAGCCTGGTCTGGTGGAAGGTGTCCCTGTCTAGATCAGGGGGGTGGAACAAGGTGAGCTTTGAGGTCCCTTTCAACCCAAACTGTTCTGTGATTCTCTGACTCCTGGCTCTCCCTGGGAGCACAAAGGGGGAATGTGGAATACCTGGTGCTCCTGTGTTTACTGGCAGGCTTGAACCAGCCTGATGTGCAGCCAGGCAGCAGGAGAGGTTCCACCCAGCCCTGAACTCCTCGGGCTGGAGACTTTCAAGTGCAAATGATTGACTTTAAAGGCAGGAAGAGCACTGTCTAAAGAGGAGAGGAAGATGCAAGGTTAAGCCCCAAGTAAAGGGGTCAGCCAAGCTCTTGCCTGGTTTAATGGTACATTTTCATCCATGTGCTCCTCTCCTCTGACCATTCCATCTTACCCCCAGCAGATTCCAGCTACTTAATGCTCTGTCTCACTGCTCATCACTTGCATAATGCAGATACATGACTGCTGCAGACTCGAAGGTAATCTCACCTCGATTATCTAATGAGAAAGGAGGAGAGCATTCAGGTCTCCCTTAAAGCATTTTTGGCCTGAAACAGAACCTAAACTTTTCTTAAAACCAAATCGTTTTGAAAACAAAAGGATTCTCTTCCAATCCTGGGTTTTAGTCAAAACCAGAATGTACTGGAGCCGTGAAAGCTGAGTTTTGATCAGATTTCCAGGCAGAAATCTCACTTCCAAAGATTGCTTATTAACCTGTGATGGGGCGGAGTGACGTTCATCAACAGGGGCTGTGCACATTGGAATGAAATGCAAACAAAAGAGACTAAATGAAAACAACCTTTAGCCACCAGGAGATCAGGGTCATTCCTCTGGGAATGAACTCCAGATCTGTGCCTTTGCACGGGGTGCAGTGCTCCTGCTGCTGCCAGACCCTCTGGGTTGGATCACTCACCGTGGGCAAGCCCCGTTCCAAGGGCTTGTTCCATTGCTGTTCAATCCTGCAGGTCAAAATGTGGCATTTTCCAGGCTGGCTGTGTTTGTAGCCACCAGAAACACAAGTGTTTATGCCCAGGGGGTGTGTGACTCCTGTCCTGGGACCTTATGCAAGAGCAGACCCACAACTCTGCCTGGTGCCACCCAGAGTCAAGCCCTGCTGCTGCACTAAGAGGCCCTCCCCTTCTTTCCATGGAAAGCCAAAGTTCCAGTGATGCCTGTTTGGAGAGGAATTAGGAGCCTGGCTCTGGGTTTTGTCAGCATGACCCTGTTTAGTATTCACAGACTGTCTTGGAAAGGTGATGGTGCTGCAAGGTCAGCGATGAAAACGATTGAATGGAGTTAATGCTGCAAGCAGTTAATTAACATCAGTAAATTGTTTAGTGCAATTGCCTCCACGGGTCAGCCCCTCTCTCTGAAGAAAGCCTGCAATCAGTTTGGAAATTAAACTGCCTGTTAGGAACAAAGGCACTTTGTTTATCATCATCATCATCATCATCATGGTTTGAGTTGGAAGGGACTTTAAAGATCATCCCATCCCACCCCCTGCCATGGGCAGGGACACCTTCCACTAGCTCAGGTTGCTCCAAGCCCCATCCAACCTGGCCTTGGACACTTGCAGGGATGGGGCAGCCACAGCTTCTCTGGGCAACCTGTGCCAGGGCCTCCCCACCCTCACAGGGAATAATTTCTGCCCAATATCCAGACTCTGAGACTGAAGACATTCCCCTTGTCCTGTCATAGTCCAGCCAAGTTCCTGGGCTCTTCTCATCTGGGAATATCTGAAAGCACATTCCATACTGCTTAATTCTGGGCATAATTTTCTTGGGAGGCTGACCCCAGCCCAAAAAACAGCCACGAAGGGAGATCACAACATTGCAGAAGCAACAAGACTCGAAAGAGCTGACAACTGTACCCTCAATGCCTTAATGCAGGTTATACAGACTGTGTTTATGTGGCACAGCCATGTTAAAAAAGACCTAAAGAAAACACTCAGCTTTGCATTTTGCACAGAATATTCATCTGCTTCTTAACTATCAGTCCCACGCTGGCTCAGACATATCATTTCCATGTCTGCATGAGCCTGTCAAGACCTACTATCCCAATTAAAAACATCCTGGTGCACATCTTTCATTACAAAGATCAAATTCAGAAGTGGTTTGTTAAATTCTGGCAGTCTCAAAGAAGAACATCATCTGTGCTGGGCCACAGTCTCCAGGAGAAATCATTCCTTAGCCCAGCTCATCAGCCCCGAGCATCACCAGGGCCTCTCTCATCTTACAACAACCAACCAAGGCAAATCCTGGTCCTTTGAAATGAAAAAAAAATTAAAAATCAGTGTGGCAGACTCAAATTTAGCAACAGCATTCCATGGAAATTGGTGCACTTCCCTCAGCCAAGGGTTTGCTGACATACAGAGCTGTCCCATCACATTAAAATGTGCCTGTGCAGGAGGTGACTCAGCTCTGCTCCCATCAGGGGGACACCTGTCCTTTCCCAGGACAGCCTGGTGCAGGATTGACACAATATACTCTGTGTTTCTCTCCATTACCTTTCTTACAAGAAAAAAAGGCAGCTGTACCCCCAAACCTCATCACTGCTGCTCCCACCTGTGCCACCCTTGGCACTGGAGAACCAAGAACCTGCAGGTACAGAAACCCAGACAGCAAAGACAAGCCCCACCAGAGGCATTCCAGCCTTTTCCTGCCAGCTCCTGCTGCGTTAAAACCACCAGGGTTTCTCGCCTTGGGTTTGTTTTGCTTTATTTGCCAGCGATGCAAATTTACCCGATAACATCTTAAAACCAAAACTAGATCCAACATTCCTCATTCCTGCCCTTAAAACCCGTGGGTTCAGGCTCAGGTTGGCAGGGCAGGGGGGTGAGGACACTGTGCTTCCCCAAGACCTCTTTGTTTCCAGACACCCTTTAACTTTGAAGTCCAGGCAGTGACAGAAAGGGGCACTGTTGTTCTTTGCACAGGGATTTAAGTGCAGCAGGAACAGATTTGGCTCCTTCTGGAGTTTAATCATCAACTCCTGCAGGCACCCTGGAGCAGGCAGGGGTTGTTCCCATTTATGAATCACACCTCTGGCTGCAGAGAGGCTGTGCTGAGGTGCTGACAGCAACCTCCACAACTGCTCAGTGGGGACACACGTGGGCCTGGAGCTCTGGTGTGATCCCTGGTGCTGCCACGCTGCTCACACGGAAAATATTCACCTGCCAGCACGTGGCTGTTGTAGGAAGGAAATTCCCTTAATGAGCTTAGCCCAGAAGAATAAATTCTGTAAAAGTTAGCTCTCTTTTAGCAGAAGAAGGTGCAAGGCAGTGGTACTCCCTCAGGAGGGTCCTTTCCATGTGCTGCCACCCCTGCTCCCAGCTGCCTTGGACACGATGCTGAGAGATCCCCTTGTTGCTTCCAGTGTTGCTGCCCCTGCTGGATTTATTTTCTTTTTTTGTTTGAAGGAGGGGGGGTCCTCAGATGTCCCTGCTCCAAAAGCTGGGGGCACCTTGGGGACCTTGTGCAGCTGCCTGTTACTACCCCTAAAAATCACCTCTGTCAGAGCCAATCTGCCTCCACCCAAAATATCTCTTCAGAGCAACCCAGGGTGTGCCCAAGGCCAGGTTGGACAGGGCTTGGAACAACCTGAGCTAGTGGAAGGTGTCCCTGCCCATGGCAGGGGGTGGGATGGGGTGATCTTTAAGGTCCCTTCCAACCCAAACCATTTCCATATATGATTCTATGATCCTATAAAATAGCACTGAGTAGTCTTAGGAGGTTCCCTAAGACTATTTATTATATTCCATTTTATTACTAATACAAGGACAATTCTGTGGCTTTGCTGTTGGTGTGGTAATAAATGTCCTCAGATAGATTGGTTGGGCTGAAGCCCAGCCAGTATTGGGGAGTTTATGGCACAGGTTTGGTACAAAACACAATTGCTGCAATATAAGTAATCATATCCCGATAAAGAAGGCAAAACTATTCAACAGAGATTTATCTTCAGGCAGGGACATTCCAAAGGGCTTCAATGATTGTTTTACACAGAAAACAGTCTGGCCTTCAAAGCCTGTCTGCACCCAAGAGGGGAAGAGCAGAACTTTGTACCCTTCAGCAGAACTAGGGCAGAACAAAGTGGTTTCCACCAAACTCCCTCTGAACCCCACACACTTCTCACAGAGTGAAAATCCTGGAGACACACACAGAGTGCTGGAACCAGCCCAGGGCATTCTCGGAAGTGCCACAGGTAGATTTTTGTTTGCAATAAAACATTTTTATCTGAAGGAAAAGCAGACCAAAGTCCCTCTCAACAACACAACCATGAAATGCCTCCATAGCTTTGAGGATATCAGCAGGTCTGCACCTCTCTCAATTAAGATTATTTGCTTAGTGCAAAAGAGGAACTGTGTGTGTGCAAGAACAAACCTCCTTTAGATCCATCTTCAGGCCCTGGGAGGCCACAGGTGTGGCCATTACCCCAAAATAAACTGTAATTGTCACAAACATACCTGGGTTTTGGTGGTACCTCTGCAGAGCTCTGGGTTTGGTGCTGGATGAAGGTGCCTTTCCTGTGGCAACAAAACCCACCAGCTGGCAGATTTTAAGTGTACAATGGTTAGAATGCAGCAAGATTAAATTCAGAGAGAAATCAGGCAGGGACTGGCAAGGCAAAAAACCAGAGAGACAAACAACCCAACTCTAAAGCAGGAGCTAAAAAGTTAATTTTACACACCTGCAAATGGTTCCCAGAGCTTGGCTGGTGATGGTGATGGTGCCCTTGTGGGAGAAGCATCTGGACATGCTCTGTGATGGACAACAGGGAAGAGAAAAACCAGACTTGAAATGTTGGTTAAGCAGAACTTGTAGCAGCACAGCTTCGCCACCCACTTCATTCTTGTTGCAGGGGCTGTTTGATAACAGGGGTTGAAGCAGAAACCACCCTTTTGTCCCGGATTCATAAAAAGCACAGCATCAAAAGGCAGGCACGAGCTACATGAAGCACTTGGGTCCATTCAAACCACAGCAGTTTGAGGAAACACAAGCAGAGTTCTTCCTTGATGTGAAGTTCTGCCTGGAAGTGTCTCAAAAAATACATTTTACTACAACTATTTAGAGACAGGTGTTTCATGTTAAAGTATTTTGTCTGTAGAGCAGGGGAACTCCTCTCAGACTCTGGCACTTTCTGCTCCTGACCTCTTCATCTTTTCTTTTTCCCCCTGCCATGATGTCACCCACGTCATTATGGCTAAAAATGACCATTTTTGGGTTCCATCCTCAGTATATTGGTGGCCTCTCTGCTATCCCTCCAAGCATTTTGACCATCCCCAGTTTGCTCAGCAATGCACGTCTAGGTTTGAGAAAATTTTTGGTGCACCCATTTTAAACTCTGGATATCAATATGTGAAAAAAAGAATTAAACATCAAGAGGTGAGCAAAGACTAACTGAGCTGCAAGCTGCAAAAACCACTTTATTAAACTAAATTCAAGTTGGAAGCAGAGCAGGAGAAGATTTCCAGCACCAGAAGCACCACAGTCTAAGGTAGGTGAGCCTCAATTTGCCCTTAAAATACTGTTGTTTAAAGAACAATGTACAGTGATTATATGAGACACTTTGATGAATTTCACCTGTGGTGTGTAACAGATCTGAAATTTAAAGTAATTATTTCCATAGCAATAAAGGTAGTAGAGTTTTACAGCGATTTTTCTTCTTTTAAGGTAGTTTGCCTTCATTTCTTTTTTTCTTTTTGAAGATATAAATTAAATTGCTGTCTCTTCTTGGCCATGAAAAAAATATGTGGACAAAGTAAATACTTATGCAAGTCCACACACAGAGACACTCTGCCTAGTTATGCAGCCCAGCTATGGATAGGGGCAGGATAATGCTTTAATCAGACAGGTGCAGAAAATTGATCATATAAATATTTTCACAACATGAAACTGAAATGAGGACAGGAGAAAAAAACACAATCATATATGGTTTACTTCTGGGATTTATATTGCTCTTTGTTTTTCACTTTCTTCTTTATACTTAAGGCTTATTTGCTGGAACACCTCCTTGCCTAAAGCCTAAGATTAAATGAAATTAAAATGTAGCTGACAGCTCTGTCCTGCTGATACTAATCCCAAAAATGAGGAAAAGGGGGAGTGCACTGGCTCAGCTGCAGTGCTGTACATCAGAAAAGATTAAACAAACATAGGGATAATATTTTCCTTGATGTAAACAAGGACGTTCAGCTCATTCTTTTCATCTCCTTACTGCTCTAAGCCCTCCAGATCGGTGGGAATTATGGCACTGAGCGAAAATCCCCATTTTTCAAGTCACGCATCCAGGGGCTGCAATGAGGGAACTCCTGAGGCTCTGCTGAACCCACTGCCCAGGGCTGGGGGGGCTGGCACGTCCTCCTGGCTCTTTGCTGGGCACAGGAGGCTGGGCTGGGCAGGCAGATGTGGTTGCACAGACACAAACACCCCTCTCCCCTGCAGAGCTGCCTCAGAAACGGGGAAAACCCGGAGGGGAACTGCCCAAAGGGGATCCTGGGCCAGCTGGACCCCCCCCAGCCTGCACTGAAAGGGGAAGAGAACATTTCTCCAGCCCTATCCCGCACTTCCCACCAGCCAAGGGGAGGGAGAGGTGGATGTTTGCAAGCATAATGTCCCCAGCACAGGGTGTTCAAGGCACAGCAGGTGACTGGTTGTGCTGGTTTGAGCTAAACCACGACCCTGGTGCAAAGCTGAGCCCACCTCCCGCTCCTCTGCAGGAGGGCACTGGGCTCCTGTGGGTGTCCAGCCCAGGACCCAGCTCAGCACCGTGGTGAGCAGGAATAAGGCTCATTGTGGCTCTGAATTTCCTTTTTCATTTTTCCTGAGTGCTCTGGAGAGATTCCAATGCCTGAACAAGGATGATTTGCACTTACCGAGGTTCCAGCTGCGCTGGAGATGAGGCAGATCCTAAACAAAGAATCTTAGGTAAAACGTTGCAGTCACCAAACGTTTTTAACTCAAACAAGGAAGTAATTCCTGTCCTTAACAGAAACACCCAAACACTGCCTGTGTTCAGATCTGGAAATGGGTAGCAACAATCTGTACACACTGCAGGGAATAAAAATTTAAAAAAGGAAGATAACTGGGGAGTGATAGGAGACATTTGAGGATGTTGGCAGCTGAGATCTGCAGCTTTTCCAGTTGATTCTTGAGCTGAAAAAAAAAAAAAAAGAGAAAGGGAGAAGGGAGAAGGGAGAAGGGAGAAGGTCGGCTGCCACTGTCCCCTCATTGCCAGCAATTCCTTTAGTAACCATCCTGCCACCCAGCAGAGGATTTAATGCAGGACTGTGAGATCTGCAGAGCACTATTACCACGGCTTTTTCCTTTTGAAATTCCCTTATTTTGAGGAATAAATAAATAAAGCTGGGAGCCTGCTCTGCCTCGAGTTCCTGTCAGAGCAATGCAGTGGTTTCCCTCGGCAGATCCCAGCCACAGCCTCTCTCTTCTGTTTGATAACACAGAAATCAGCAAAACCCCATCCCCAGCGTGAGATTGTTGGAGTTTGCTGAGTGGACACTCGAGAAGGCTGGACATGGTGGTTCTCTTTCTCTTAGCAGCTTTGCTGCAAGGTGAGTCACCAAGAAACCAGGTCTCCAGCCAGCTACGCTGATAAGAACAGGTAAAGCTGGAACTGGGGACACAGGCTGTGTTCTTCTGGCTAAATCCTCACTTGGGCACTAGACACCTCCACCTGCAATATGGAAACCAGTCAAACCACCCTCCCTGCCCACTAGAAATCTGCAGAGAGTCAGCAAAGCGTGGCCAGAGCTGGGAGGAGAATCCCAGCTCTCCTTTGCTCTCGCTGCAGCATCCACGGGGAGAAGGAAGTTGCCAGATCAGGCAGAGTTTGCAAATGCCAAAGGTTATTCTTAGGTGTTTGCCATTAACTGCTGCCCTTGACCTTTAACTCCAGGGCTGGTGGGGGTCTGGAGCACCCTGTAAGGGGCATGAAAGGGTCTCTCCATTTGTGCCATGGCATAGATGGGTAATGTAGCCCCGAGGGAAGGTAACACATCACATCCAAAATAAACTGTGGACTCTCTGAGCCAGGTGTCCCACTGGGGGCACTCAGAATCACACTTCTGACTCGAAGGGGCTGGTTTTTCCATGTGGGATCTGATTGTCTCTTAGTAACCAACAGTTTCTCTTTCATTTTCTCCCCAAAAGAGCCGGTTTCAGGCAGCCTGTACGGACCCAGGTTTTTGACAGGTGAGGTCGGGGGGTCCGTCACCCACCAGTGCTTCTACTCCATCACACCCGCCAACAAACACGACCGGAAATTTTGGTGCAAAATAGCAGAGAACGGAGTTTGCTACACCATCGTCTCCTCGACCGACCCCGCCTCCCCGGAGTACGAGGGGCGGCTGTCCCTGCGGGACATCCCCCAGAACGGCACCTTCGCGGTGACAATGGCAGGGCTGAAGGGCAGCGACACGGGGAGGTACCGATGTGGCATCGGCCCCACCAGGGGGGGCCTCTACGTCAGCCTGAACCTGACGGTTTCGGCAGGTGGGTTTTGGCAGGTGGGTGGGGACAGGGGAGGTGCTGTTCCACCGCCAGCTCAGCTCCCAGGAGCGCTTTGGGATCGGATGCTGGAGCATCCACGCACAGCAGGTTGTATCAGCTTTTTATACCCCGCGCTATTAATCGCATATTTACAGTAATGAGGTGTAAAAGCACAGAGATTTGGACAAATCAGCTGTTCATAAACGCAAAAGGAAATTCTCCCCTACCTGGCTGTGTGCTGGACAGTCCCTGTCCTGCTCTCTCCCTGCAGATGCTGGTGTGTCGAGGCCGATCCAGGTCGTCCAAGGGAAGCTCCGTGGCTCTGTCACAGTCCTGTGCCCCTCTGGGGACACCCAAAGTGGTGGGAGGAGGTTCTGGTGCAAAGTGGGAAGAACCAGCTGCACTCTCCTAGCCGACTCCGATGGCTACGTGGGAAGGAGATACCACGGGCGCATCTTCATCACCCCCCGGGAGAGCTCTGGAGCTTTCAAAGTCTTGATAAATGACTTAACAAAGGAAGACTCGGGGCTGTACAGGTGTGGGGTGGAAGGGCTAAATGGTTTGGACAGCCCACAGGAGGTGGCTCTGCAGGTGACCACAGGTAGGACAGGGCACAGGGGGCTGCACAGGTTCCTCACAGTACCAGGTGAGGAGCATTAAACACTAATTCTGTCCCCTCCAACCTGCAGCCTCCGCTCTTCCCAGGAGACCCAAATTTCTCAGCGGCACAGTCGGAGGCTCCCTGTCCTTCCAGTGCCACTATGACCCCAAGGGGAGCTACGAGAGGAAGTATTTGTGCAGGTGGGAGGAAGGGAGCTGCTCTCTGCTCCTGGACACCGACGGGTTTGTGCACGAGTCCTACAGAGGGAGAGTACAAACAACCAGCAGCGACCCCGAGCACGGGACATTCACGGTGGTGATGAGCCAGCTGAGAGAGGAGGACTCAGGATGGTACTGGTGCAGGGCTGCCAGTGGGCACACGGAGCACACGTCCTCTGTGAAGCTGCACATCCACGAGGGTAGGTGGTGGGATGGCCTGGAACACAACAGGATGATCTTTACAGCCCCTCCCAACCCCAAACCATTCCGTGATAACAACACTGTGAGAAACATCAGCTCTGCGTTTTGCCTTAGTTATCAGCAAGCAACTGAGGCGATGGTAAAGGGTTTGAGGGACGTGAGCTGAGCTTTCAGAAGGGATTTAATTGGTTTGAATTATATTATTGATTCTTTATGATGCATATGACATCCTGATCCAGGCAGGTGCAGCGCAGAGACACGTGCCTGGCTCTGAAGATAAGCTGAAGTTTGCAGTTTGAGAAACTGCAGCATGTAAATACACAGATCCATGGAACTGCTCCTCTGGCAGAGACAGAAATAGTGGGGTTAAGGTGGGGATGTTTGCCAAGTGTTAAGGTTTAAGTGGTCCCAAGCTGCTTTCTTTAAGAGTCAAAGGAAAACAGAAAATGCTTGGGTCTGGTAGTTTTTTTTCATGGAAGGTGAAATGCATAAATCTTTGGCAACTCTAACACGTTGCCTCTGCAAGAAGACTTATATTAAAGCCTAAAAATAATGTTCTCTGTAGAACTCTGCTCTTCACAAGACCCAGAAACAACCACTCCTGTCAAGTCCACTTCATCAAGCCCGGCTGCCTCCAGCACACCCACACAGAGGAGCATCACGGGCCGGGTGTACACGGTGGGTGCTGTCACCAAGAGCACCACGGTGGGCACTGTCACCAAGAGCACCATGCTGGGCACTGTCACCAAGAGCACCACGGTGGGCACTGTCACCAAGAGCACCACAGTGGGCATTGTTACTGAGAAAACCAGCACCCTGCTGCCCACTGCCACCCCTGGCACCTCTGGAACCTCCCCAGGTGA